ACAACTTCCATTCTTATTCAGGCTGGCTGTCTACCCTTAATGGAAGAGCAGTAACGTGGAAAAGCTCCAAGCAAGAGACTGTAGCTGATTCAACATGTGAATCAGAGTATATAGCTGCGAGCGAAGCATTAAAGGAGGCTATATGGTTGAAGAATTTCATTTGTGACCTTGGAGTTGTGCCAGCCATTAAGGAGCCGATGAAGATTTTTTGCCATAATGAAGGAACGGTTACCTTGAACAAGGAACCAAAAGATCATGGAAGATCTAGGCATATCGACATAAAATATCATTTTACCAGACATTGAGTAGAAGAAGGACACCTCATCGTTAAGAGGGTTATCATCATAAGAAAATCATGTCGATCCCCTCACAAAGGGTCTTAGTAGGATTAAGCACATTCAGCATGCAATGAACATTAATTTGAAGGATGATATTAATTTTAGTGATCAGATAGATATTTAGAAACTTATAATAAACAAATTTAATTGACATTTGATGATTAAGTAATGGAGATTTATTTATGAGTATTATATACTATCTTTTGTAAATTGTTTATCTTGTGTTTCATCTTTGTGTGTTTTACTTCCCAAACAATTGGATTATTCAAAACATCCACAGTCGATCATACATTGGGAGTAAGTTGTGAATCAAGACTGTCGTGAATTGGACTGTAGATCGTCTAAGGGTTTAGACATAGCAATGGTTTGCTGCAACGTTCACGAGTGCTTTTGAAATGGGGATTTGAGTATAAGATTAAACTCACGCTCATAGAATTACTTCATGGAATTTATCACGAGTAATTATGAAACGATTATATATGAGTTGTTTACGAGTTGGTTGTACATTGGTAATATGTAAACGCATTAGTAACTTGATGTTATAAAACGTATTGTTATGTACGATTTGATGAGTAAATAGTACCATCATATAAGTCAAAGTTTATCTGTTCCTTTTGCCCTAACAGGAAAAACAATATCTTGGGCCCCTCGATGGTTTGGTGTTTACTTATGTGTCGGGTCCGGTAAGGACTGAATTAATGTGTTCAATTAAGTTCTATGTCATTACAAAATCAGAAATCGGGAAACAAAGTGTTGGACAATGAGAATGATTATGTTCCATGTCAGTTGTCCACATGATATCTTGCAGAATGGAGGATTATATGATCCCTTATCTTAGGGCACTTGAGATTATCGTAACCAAAAATCACTATTTGAGAATTTGGCGTGAAATTGCTTGGTTTTCAAGATTTCCAATACTTCTCATAGATTTTTCTCATGTTCTTTTCTAGCCGTTGAATAATTAAGAATATCATCAATGAATATGATAACCAAGCTTTTGAGAAATGGCTTAGTTCAGTAAATCCATAAACACAGAAAGAGCATTTGTAAGACCGAATGCCATCACCAAAAATGCGTAGTTACCATAACGGTTTTCGAATGCCATCATTAGATGTCACTATTTTTTATGTGGACTTGGTGATAACTAGAATAAAGATCAAATTTTGAAAATTAAGCAAGCCCTTGAAGTTGATTGAATAGATCATCAATCCATGGTAACGGGTACCGATTATTGATCATGATTTTTTTGAGCTCGCCATAATCGATGCACATTCACATCTAAATGATGATTTTTTGAGCTCGCCATACTGGTGCACCCGCATGATGTAGAAGTCGGACAGATAAAGCCTTTGTCGAGTAATTCTTGGAGTTGGGACATTAACTCACGCATCTCCATATGAGCAAAATGTCGAGAGAGATATACAAGTAGCGACCAATATCAAATTAATTTGAAATTCAACTTTCCTTTCAGGCGACAAGCATGGTAAATTGTTAGAAAAACCCAGGAAAGTCTAATTATTCCGCCCCTTGCTATAAAAATCTTAAAATTTAGTGTATTTTTGTTTGTTAAAAGTGTACATGTTGATTGTTATTTATTTACATTTATCCATTATTAGTTAATTTTGTAATTTGTAAATTAATATTAAACGATAATTATAAATCTTAATAAATAGCTAAAGTAAAGTTAATAGACAATTCTAGAAGACTTAGATATCGATAGTTGTATTTTGATTGTAGATATAATTTTTTTTTTTTTTTTTTTTTTATAATTCCTTACTATAGTTCAGAGAGCATGATACTAATAAATTATTAGAAGAGCTTCATCTGTTTTATATTGTAGATATAAAAATATTTTTTATAATTCCTTACTATAGTTCAAAGAGCATGATATGGATAAATTATTAGAATATCTTCATCTATCAAAAGGATTTCCGATGACTCCTCAGTTGGTCGTTGTCAATTACGAACATGTTTTTTTAACGTTGTGAGCTTACGAACTTTCGATGTATGTATGTGCATGTTCGTTTAATGTTCCAGATTGAGTTGACAATTTTTATATTTGTAATCACTCAACGATATTTTATCTTTTTTAACTACATGTTTACTTAATCCATTAGATTTAATTGATGCTTTTTGGAGAAAGCTTGGTTTGGATCCTCTATATATGTAATGTGGGGATGTTAATTTTGATCATGATCTGCAAAGGTTTATGTAACGTATTTAGACTTTTAGCTTTGTTTATATTAATTTTGCATTTTTGGTTCCAAACACCAGGCATTAGCGTTTAAGGGTTGGACGCAGCTTCCCATACGAATGCCAGGAGTTTGTATGTTGACACCAGGTGTCCGCACGCTAAGGGAAAACCCTAATTTTAAGGGTTTGCACCCTATTTAAAGGACATTAGAGCCTCAAGACCCTTCTTAACTCCAACCTCCATTTCTCTTAGCCCTCATTTTGATACCCTAAGTGTGTATGAGTGTTTTAAAGCTTTGGAGTGTCATTTTGGTGCCATTTTAGTGTTCTTGGTGGAGAAGGAAGACCCTTGCAGTGGTGGTGTTGCTCTTAAACTTTTGGATCTAGACTCTTTGCATCTTAGAACATCTTCTTGAATTATAAAGTTTAGATGTTGATGGATTCTTTGTAGGTCTTGGTTAAGCTTTTTTTATGCCCTTTTGTCCCAAGATCTTGATCGTTGTGAGTTTTGAACATTCCGGAGGATTGGGCTGTCATTTCAAGCATTTTAGAATATTTAGGATCATAAAAATGCAAGCTTGGACCATGCAATAGTTTTGGAGTTTTAGAGTATGATATGAGTTATGATCTTCATGTTGGGCTCTTTGTAGCCATGCAAAGTCATAAAGGTTGCAACTTTATGGCTTTAGATATTTTGTTACTTTTGGATTTAAAGTTTGGACGTTAGGTCTTAAGCCATTAAGATCTTAGTTTAGAATTTGGAACTAAGTGGTTTATGCTAGGCGTAAACATGAGAATGTAGGGTGTTGAGATTACAGGTGTCATATAGTGGACGCCAGGCGTTCTCTCAGTAGCCCATTGGACCGATTTTTGGGCCTTAGGCCACTTGGGTTTTGGGCTTCATTAGTTAGGTTATGTATGGACAGGGTAAATGGTCTTTTGCCCTTAATTTGATGAAGGATGATTTGGACCATTGTTTATGGGTTATAACCCTAATTGTTAATTAGGGTTATTTTGGGATATGTTTAGAGCGAGGAGCTGTGTTAGCAGCAGCTCGAGTGTGTAATTCATTTATCTTCATTTAGAGGTGAGTCTCCTCATTATATGCATGGGTCAAAGGCACCAATATCGGCCCATTCTTAGATTGTATATATATATATATATATATATATATATATATATATATATATATATATATATATTGTTGGCTGTTATGTGATATATATGTGTTTTGTGATCGTGTTGAAATACACCCCAGGGCGGGACCCACTATGATATGCCGGGTTGAAATACACCCTAGGGCAGGGCCCATTATGGCATGTTCAGGTTGAAATATACCCCAAGGCGGGGTCCATAATTGTTTATTGGGTTGAAATATACCCAGGGCGGGGCCCAACTGTATGTTTGGTATGTGGTACTCTAGATGAACTGACTAAGCCTTTTGCTTACAATTGTGTTTATGGTTTCAGGTACTTCTAGTACTAAAGGGAAGGGTCCGACGTGATAACACAGCATCCTCTCCTCATGTTTTTCGCACCTTTTTGGATATTATTACTCTAATGATTTGACATTGTATCTTGTGAATGTTTTGGAACTATTTGATGTTTGAATCTCTTGGTTTTAAAATGAAAAAATTTTATCATGATTCTTGGGATGTTATAGTTTAAAGAAATATTCAACAATCAACCGAATCATGGAAAATCTAGTTTTTATGAAAGTTGATGGGATAATGGATCCATCAAATTTTGTTATCAATAAACCTTAATTAAGAACAAAAACAGTCAGTATACCATGTTTAGCATCAAACTTAAGTTCCTCACAAATACAGTTCTTCATACTTGAATCATGAACCAAACTGACTAGGCATAGTTCATTAATCGTGAAATTGAATAGGGAACCAACTAGGCATAATTCATTCTTGATGGTCTCAAATAAGGAAGTAGTAAGACAATATTTATACTAGATGGACTTAAACGAGGAACGAATAGTCCAATGTTCTTACAAGATCGAGGAACCAATACGCCAATGCTCATGCTGGATTTGACTTGAATGGGGAACCACCCGTGGCACATACTTCATTATTGATGGTCTCCCTCCCCCCCCCCCCCCCCCCTCCACTCATATAAATGGTCGCATTAAGGGTGTACACAAACACCATATATTACATTTACATGGAGGGGGTATACAACACTGAGGGTCCGTATAGAAATTCCTTTTGTAAAACTCTTTTTGGCTTTGCCTAGTTCCTTGCTAGATAGGTCCTTTCTTTCCCTAATAATATTTGCTGGTTTAAAAAAAAAAAAAACTAAAAACTAAATATAGTAAGTTATTTGTTGATAAAAATGGATGTTGGTCAGGTATATGTTTTAACCTTGTTTTAGATGTTGGTCAGCGGCCAGCCGATATCAGTTTAAATAGATGAAAATTTTGCCGTTGACTTACTTTACATTCTTTTTAGATCCAGTTTCAATGACTTCAAGTTCTTCTCCTGGCGCTAATGGCAGCAGCTATGACGTTTTTCTAAGCTTTAGAGGCGAAGATACTCGTTATTCTTTTACCGATCATCTTTACAAAACATTAAAACGATCAGGAATTGATGTTTTTAGGGATAACGACGATATCAACAGGGGTGAAGAACTGAAGCCGGAGATCCAGAGAGCAATCAAAGAATCTAGGGCTTCAATAGTTGTGTTGTCAGAGAACTATGCAACTTCCTCTTGGTGCCTGGACGAGCTTATGTTGATCCTCCAACAAAAAAGGGAGCACAATCATTTCGTTCTACCTGTTTTTTATCACGTTGATCCTTCTGATGTGAGGAAACAAAATAAAACTTTTGCAATTGAAGTCAAAGCCTCTTCAAAGTGGACAGATCACAACGTGGACCTGTGGAAGAAAGCTCTTAAGGAGGTAGCTGATTTGGCCGGCATGGTTCTATCCGGGAATGCCATTGCTTCTCTTCTTGTAATTCAATCATTACTTAAATACAATTCAACTGATGCGACTTGTCTAACAATTTGGCAATTATATATTAATCTTAACATGGAGCAAAATTTTGGTCTCTACCTGTGAATTTTTGTTGATAAATGTGTCGATAACTTTAGCATATTATTATTTCTTTGATTGAGAAGTTTGGAAAACTGCGATGATTTCATTGGTTATGTCAATAAGTCAACAGCTGAAAGCTTCTTGATGCATCATATACAAGTTTGACTCATGACTGGAGCCAAAGAGTTTTTTTTTTTTTTTTTTTCTAACTGGATAAAATTGCCCCATTTATTTATGTTAAACCTAGAATTTTAATTCGAAACTAATGGTATGGCATTATCACATACCTGCTCATTTTCTTTATTCTTTTTGTAATTGCAGATCTGAAACAGACTTTATCGCAAACGTGGTTGATGCAATTGATTGTCAACTAGATATGAAACTAGTAAGTACTCCAGCTCATCTAATTGGAATGGACACTCGAGCTATAGGTATCGATTCTTGGTTGAAAAATGAGCAATCTGGTCCTAATGTTTTAGCAATTTGTGGCATGGGAGGCATCGGCAAAACGACACTGGCCCAA